CTTAGTCCGCACACGTTTTCGCGTTTTCGCGCGCATGCTCGTATGTTGCGCGTTTCTTAATCTTCACCGCTTTTGTGTGGCTATTCAGCGCTCTGGATGTGTGTGTCACTCTCCTCTCCGCCCTTACCTCTATCTCTGTCCATCTATCAATACGCACGCGCACACTCTTTTGGGGAGGCTGTGTGTTTTTTTTCTTATAGTTGTTCTCTCTGGTGTGTATCGCGTATGTGTGTGCGTCACACACGCTCTCACACACACACACACACACAAACACACTCCTCTACAGCCCCGTAAGCCTCATCCACAAACACACACACACACACACACACACACACACACACACACACACACACACACACACACACACACACACACACACACACAGTGCTTTGCATGGTGCATGGGTTTAAACGGATGGTCGAATGTGTCACGGGCGGTTCTTGCACCACAAAACCGGTTTGGGGCGTTTACTTTGATGTGGGGAAACTTGTGGCGGAACAAAAGGTCAAGGGTGAAACGAAACAAGAAAAATGGAACGGTGCATTGGCAGGACTGCCAATGACAGCAAAAGGAACGAAGAACGACAAACAGAAGGAAGGAAGAAGCGCGGAGAAGCAAACAGGGTTGAAGGGCCACCCTCTCCATGACACCAGCCAAGCCATGTAGTCTTGCGAGCTTCCTTCACCTTGGTGGGAGGGCGACGTACTTGCTGCCGGAAGCGGAGATGAACATGGACCCGCGGCGACGCCACGCCTCCGTGTACACACCGGGGTCACCCTTGTATGCGTACAGCGGGTGGTACTCTCCCGTGCTCACCATCATGCCGGGGCCACGCGAGCGCCAGATCTGTGGGTGGGATGGCGGGAAATGGGGAGGGGGAGGGGTTGTTCATGAGGCTGGGAGGGAGGTGGCACAGCGACACAGCTGGACTGATGTGACTAGGCGCGAACGTACATTCATACACACACACACACACACATTTACATTTACATTTACATTTACATTGACATACACACACACACACACATGCACACGCACGCACACACGCACGCACGCACACACTCGCACAAATGCACACACACACACCTTGACGTAGATGTCGTGTGCGTCTGGGGACGGCGGAGCGGAGAGCGGGTAGTGCTGGGGGCTCGAGGACACATACATGGCGCCGCGCTTCTTCCAGCCCTTCACGTACACCTCAGACTCGGCCGCTTGCTGGCTCGCCTGGTGGTGACAAGGAGGGGGGGGGGGTTCGTGTGTGAGGGCAGTCTAAGGCGGAGTACACAAACACAGACACAAACACAGATGCACACAGACGCACACACACACAGACACAGCCAGAGCACACACAGACACAGACACAGCCAGAGCACACACAGACACAGACACAGCCAGAGCACACACAGACACAGACACAGACACGGATACAGGCATAGACAGACAGACAGACACACACACACACACATAGCCACAGGCACACACCTGCAGCTGCTCCTGCGTTGGCGGGGGCACGGGCGTGGCTTGGATGCCAAGAATTGCGTTTGGCTTTCCCGGCGGCATCGCAATGACAACATCACGGTATGCCTTGTCCTTGAAGTTGAACACGCACATGGTGAACTGGCCCTTTGTCTGCCAGGCAAGCATGCGGCTGGCATGGAAGGCCTCCATGTTGGTGAACGGTTCACCCTCCGCCTCAAAGACGAGGTCGTATGGCTGCAGTGGTCGCACAAGATATTGCGCAGTCGGTGATGCAGGGGTGTGAGCAATGGGGAGAGAGTGTGCGTGTGTGTGCGCGCGCACGTGAGTGTGTGGATTTGTATTGGCCTTTGCCACAACCAAGTAAGGATGCTGACCTTGAGACCGTACTGGGCGCCGAGCGTGCCTTGCTCCGGCACCTGCGTCACCACAACACCAGCCAGTCCTAGCGATGGCACAGGAACCAAAATGTGCAGCATCATGACGTCACAACGGTGAACAGTATTGATGCACAATGTGAGTCTACATGCTCGTACGCGCGTATGGGACCTGGGTAAGATGCCTGGATGTGCAACACAACCACCACCAACTCCACAACAAAGACGTCACACACACACACACACACACACACACTCTCTCTCTCTCTCACACACACACACACACACACACTCACACACACACACACACACTCTCTCTCTCTCTCGCTCTCTGTTGCTCCAGTCCACAGACGCCCCCTCCCTCAAGTTGACTGCGGGCCACGCACCTTCTGGCAGGAAGTCGCGTGCGAGAATGGTGGCGGCGTTGAGCAGCTGCTGCTCGTAGTTTGACACGCCGCTTGCGCCCTGCACCTTGTCTGCCAGGGCGACGGCATTGTCCTCCTTGGACAGGTGCGGGTCGTTCTTGTGAGACATCATCGCGCCCATAATCTGGCCCTGCAGGTTGAAGAGAGAACGCGGGGGAGGGGGGGGGGCGGTGTACGTGTGTGCGTGTGCGTTTGTGTGAGTGGGGAAGTTGTTGTGCGTGGTCATGTTGGTCATGTCCGCGTGTACGAGGGCATTTGTCCGAAGGTGTCAAATTATGCCAGACACACACACGCACACACACACACACACACACGCACACACACGCACACACACACACACACACACACACACACACACACACACACACACACACACACACACACACACACACACACACACACAC